TGCGCCGACACGCCCTTGGCTTATTGTTCGAAATAAGGGCGTGAGATTCAGTTCGCGGCGATCGAATTCTTGGTTGGTGCGCGTCATGTCAGTTTTTGCTTTATCTATTTTCTTTTACGTCTCTGTTTTTTCGTTCTCTCTGTTTCTGGCTCTTCTTGCGTTCAGTTTATTTTGTATGTTCGTCTGGCGGTTTGTTTGTGTGTTTGCCTGACTGTCTGTCTGTTGTCTCTGTCTCTTCTTTCCCTCTCTCTTTTTGTCTCTCACCTTCCTATTCTCTCTCTCTCGTCTTTCTTCTCTCTTTCCTCTTCCCTTTTTCCTTATCCCCTCCATTGTAACAAATGGAATTAAAACTAAATCTTTAAATCTTTTAATCTCTACCCTCTCCTCCCTCCTTCCCCTTTTTTCTCCCCCCCTCCTCTCTCTCTCTCTCTCTTTCTCTCTTTCTTTCTCGTTTTTCCTCTCTCTCCTTTTCCTTTTCTTTTTCCTTTGACTCCTTCTCTCTCTCTTTCTCTCTCTGACAATATTACTGACACTAGCAACAACGATAACGCCAGCTGATAACAACGATGATGATAATAATGATAGAAATCGATAATGATAATGATGATAATGATGATGACAATAACAACAATAAATATAATAATTACAGCGATAGCAGCAGAAGTAAATAACGATTAAAACTACTCACTAAGACAAATAATGATGCTGTTTGTAATGATAATGAATCATAGTAATACTGAAATTCTTATCACTGACAATTAGTGATAATGTGTCATTCTTGCAAGGTATGAAAGTGAACCCGATTATCTATTTTGCAGTAACAGTTATGCGGTTTAATTTATGCACAAACTGAACAGAACAATAAAGAATAAAAAACGACCATTAAAATAACTTTGGAAATAATAGACATCGAAGGAATAAACAATATGTAGACGAATAATTGGAACTCATTAAAATCTATAAAAAAGAATAACAAAAGGATGTCTCCATTGTTCGTTATATATAATGTGAAGAATTTCCTGTACAAACTCTCACCTACGTTAAATATTTTCCCCTTTATGCATCCGTTATTTCGATGTCTTTCTTTCTTTTAAGAATAAATAAAGGAACGGTTTCCCCTAACTCTAATTCCGTTTGGGCTCGTAAACCACGCTAGACGACTCAAATATGGTCATAAGAGCGAAATTCCAGCGCCGTTCTTCTGTTCCTTCGCCCTTTACATCTAAGTCCTATCGAAAGCTTCTGCCCATTTTGGCGGGAAAAACTAAATCCATTTTCCCTCCTCGCTGCCATTTCTCCATCTGTGCACTAATTTGTATATATCCCGTTTCTAGATATTTTGGCGCGAAAATCCAAAATCTGATTTTCATTTTCGTTTCTTCACCCATCAACCATTCTTAACTTAATCTTCCCTTCCTCTACATTTATATACAATCCATACATAAGAGAATTTCCCAGAATAAGCCTTAATCAAGAAATTAAACCAAGCTGAAAAAGTAAAACTTGGCAAGACATCCTCGCCAAAATACGCATCTGGCAAGCGTCTCCTTCCAAGACATCTAGGCTCACACATGAGACGTCAGCCCCTGAGACGGAGGGAATGCACTTGTAGAGCATCCCCATCCATAACAGCCAGAACAAATAAGCCATTGGCAAAACTTGCGAGAATTTTGTAGAACAGATTATTTTCGGGACAGATGTTGAGATGTTAGAATTAGTCTCCCCTCGAGAGGCTGACGGTTTGAAAACGGAGTGAGATGAAATGCGTATGTATGAATGTGCAGTGCATATCCGTGTGTGTGTGTGTGTGTGTGTGTGTGTGTGTGTGTGTGTGTGTGTGTGTGTGTGTGTGTGTGTGTGTGTGTGTGTGTGTGTGTGTATGCGCGTGTGTGTGTGTATGTGCATGCGGGTGTGTGTGCGTGCGTGTGAGTGCGGATGTGTGTGTGCGTGTGTGTGTGTGTGTTTCTTTGGCAGCTGTGAGTTGCGTCAGTCGTTTGCATAACAATGGATGAAGGCGGCGATGCAGGGGACTTTGTGCTCGGTGTGTGTTAATCATAAACCAGTGAATGCACAAGTGAATGCATGAATAAACCAATAAATAAGTAAAGGGAGAGATACAGGCGTATAAATTAGCTCCAAGGTAACTAAAGCAAAAAAAAAAAAAAAAAGAAAAAAAAAAAAAGAAAAAAAATAGCGTTAGAAAACCAACGATGAAATGCAATAAAAATGCATAAACTGAAATCTAATATAAACGTTGATGATGATTATTATAAAAATAAGGATAGTGATGACAAAGATGGTGATGATGGTGGTGATAATGCAATAATGCTACTGCTGATAATAATAATGATAAAGATAATATTGATAATAATTATAATAATTATCATAATAACAATAACAACAACAACAATACTACTACTAATAATAGCAATAATAAGAAAAATAAGGATAAAAACAAAAACTATAAGAACAACAAAACAAAAGCGCATCGCATCGCCACCTTGCAGAAGGCGTAGATGCTTCGAAGGAGTCGGCGGATCCTCATGGTGTGCGGCGACGCGTCCTCGACGGAGATATAGGACGTCTTGAGCTCTCTGGTTCGGATGCAGAAGGATCCGGACACCGGGTCAGGCACGACGTAGGTCACGACGGCACTCCGAGGTGGCACTGGCCCGGTGTAACACGGAAGATGGCACCACGCATGCATATATGATCAGCTTGGGAAACTTTACTCATTCACAGAGGCTTGGCGACCTCGCTCGGGCTCACTTCCCCCTTCTTATCTTTTCTGCTTTCGTACGCCCACTTTTCGCTTTTTATTTTCGTTTTGCTCTTTTTTTTAACCTTTTCTATATATATATTTTTTCTATTTTTGATCACATGCTCTTGAAATCTCTTTTAACTTCGGCTTTTCTTCCCTTCCCGCGAAACGAACCGACGCCGAGCAGCCTTCGTCTTATTCGCACCGCAGTTAGAGTGTGATTAAACCCGATGCAATACGTTCGAACGCCTTTTGATAGGGTCTATGACAGTTAACAAACCCCGATTGCTATAATTAACCCTAATCACTCGCTGGTGAATTATCTCATAAAAGTCAATTGAGCTCGCGGTTGGGGTTATATTGCTTGTTTTTCTTTATTTCCATTTTCTCTCGTCACCGATGATTCATAGACAAGAAATACGCGGCACAAAGTTCGAAGAATGTGCTTGAAGATTCTTCTGTGTTCTTCCAGGAGACGCTTCTTTTTTGTGACTAAGTGAAAAAAAGGAAAAAAAAAAAGAGAAAAAAATGATTGTCATACTACTCGAGAGTTAGTAACGATTTCGAGTTATTTATGTTCCTAACGAAGCGCAGCGCCCTGCTCGAGTTTCCCCCTAAGGAGCGACCTGGCACCTTCGCCATTCATCGTTCCCACTAATGATGGCGGTGATGAGCGCGAACACACCTCGCTGTCGTCCTACGCTCGCTTCGCTTGCCGGAAACTCCCTTTTCAAAAATCTCTTCTCTCTAAACTACTATTTCCTTTCTTTCTCTTCAGAGGATGTACGAACAACGCGACGAGGAAATTATGTTAAAAGTAAATCTAAAAGATGGAAAACGCTAGCCAGGTAGAGATCGGGGAGCATCTGCCGCATCTGCCGTTCGATTAGGGTAAATGTGGCGGTACTTAGACGGATTCAAGTGCATGCCACGGCGGCCGTTATGCGAACGACCTGCGTCATGAAGCTGACACAGGTGAGGACTCATTATGAAGTCTTTGTCTTTGAGGAGTCGATGCTGAGATTCTTGCTTTTATTTTCATATATATATATATATATATATATTATATATATATATATATATTATATGTATGTATATGGATATTCTTTTATTATTATAAAGATTCTTTTGTGCTGATTTTTTTTAGTGAGATGATTGTTGTGTTTTTTAGACGTATATAAGTACTAGGGAATCATGCAGTAATTATTTTTTATGATATGAAAACAAACATTCAGTTCTTTGTCTGTGCATGGATCTGGCTGCACGTGTGTGTGTAGGCATATATGCGCGCGCCTGTGCATGTCTGCGTATCCAAGAATGTATGTGCTCGGGTGCGTATTTGTGTGTGTCTGTGTGTGCATGTGTATGAGTCTTTTCGTCCGTATGTGTATGTGTGTCTGTGTCTGTATGTGTATGTGTGTGTGTGTGTGTGTGTGTGTGTGTGTGTGTGTGTGTGTTGCGCGCACGTGGGCGGTTCCTGCAGCGGGTGTGTGTGGGAGGTGAGAAGGGGGGGGGGGGGGGAGTTGATAATGTTATGACATTTAACGCGACGCGACACAAGCAAGGCTCCAGGCAAGGCTGCAGCTTCTTTTGATTGCAAACACGATTGTTCCTCTCTAGAAGGATACCTGTGTGAAGGGGAAGAGAAGAGAGGGGGAAGAAGGGGAAGAGGAAAAGAAGAAGAAGAAGAAGAAGAAGAGGAAAAAGGAGGAGGATAAAAATAAGAATAAGACGATGAAGAAGGAAGAGAAGAAAAGAGAAAGAGGAGAGGAAGAGGAGGAGAGATATAAATAAATTAATAAAAAAGAAAACGGAGAAAAACGGAAGTAAGCGATGGCAAGAAAGTAAGTGAAAGCAGAGAGGAGAAAAGAGGAGCAGAAGCAAGAAAAATGAGGGCAGGAGGAAGGAAGAATAGGAGACCGGAAGAGAGAAAAATGGGGACAGGAGGGAGGAAGGGAGGGGGGGGGAGGAGGTGTGCCAGACACTGTTTACGTCTGGAGAAAGACGACGGAATCGATGGCTGTGGCACGGCGAGTACAAGTGCAGTTGCCTCGGAGGGTGTGGCACTCTGGCACTCTGGCGAGCGAGAGAGAGAGAGAGAGAGAGAGATTGAGAGAGTGAGAGAGAGAGAGAGAGGCTGAGAAAGAGAGTGAGTGAGAGTAAGGAAAACAATATATATATATATATATATATATATATATATATATATATATATATATATATATATATATATATATAT